GGATTGCAACTGAGATGGAAAAATGCACAAAAATATGTAAAAATAAACTAATATAATAATTTTTTAAAAAGCTCTACAATATTTTAAATAGGTGTTAGCAATTTTTCTTAAAGTTTAATTAAAATCTATGTAAAGGACTACAGGAAACTTATTTTTTTATGGTTTGAACTGTGTTCGTTGTCCAATGACCTCAGTGATTATTTCATATTCAATTTTCCTTCCTCCATTTGCAGTGAGCAAATACTATATGTTGCTAGTAAATCATATATTACCATTCAAATTTTACAGTTTATTTCTATCATGTAGCCAAAATAATGATGTAATTTTGGCTTTCCATATGTGTCACAGAAATTAACGTTTGACTTGTTCCTTTATCAAAAGTCTTAGTAGTTGACTTTGTCATTTCCAGTATTCAGTTTTTTTTTCTATTGGTTAATGTATGCATAATTCTATATGTATACGTAAATCTGTGTATATATGCACATATACTATATGTTGTCGATGCATCTATTTAAATCAAACTTAACAGATATTACAGAGAAAAGAATAGCTAGATGAACAAATACACCAACACCATTAACCATAATGGAAATGCAGGTAAGTAATAATGATATCAAGAGCTTCCCTTCACCTCATTAACCTGAAGCACAGCAAAGGGAATGTACTAAAAACAAAAGAGGATAAGAGAGGAGAAGAATGAGCAGAAGAGAAAGCAGTTCTCTCATGGCTGTGTAACATTGAGGATCCCCGTCCTCAAGTGTATGAAAATGAATCTCACTTTAGCTTCATCAAGTTTTTAAATGTTTTCTTATCTGATAGATAAGAAATGAAATGTCATTGTTATTTTACATTGTGTTACCCTTGTGATGATTTTATATGACTTCCTTAGTTTAAGTGGCATTTGGATATCTATGAGGTTAAATAACTTTTCACAGGATTTTGAAATTTTTGGTTTCTTTTTCTCAATTTTTTAAATATTCTTGTTTTTTAAAGATTTTAACATTTTGCCTATAAAGTATGATGAAACTATTTTCCCAAGTTGTCATGTGTATTTTAACATTGCTTTTATGCTATGCCAGATTTTTCTAACTTTATTACATCTACATGTTTAGAATAATTAGAAAATATTCTCCAGTTCATAGAGAAGAGTATTCAGTTTTCTTCCAGTGTATGTTCTTTTTATATATTGATTTCAATACCTTAAGTCCTGTATATGGTTTCAGAGACGTATCTGACTAACCATTTGCAAGTGATTATCCAGATGTCTGACCAGAATATCTTAAGAAGCCCATGAGTGAAACTACTATCTTTATTCATATAAATTTCTACAAATAGTTGAGACTATTTCTGGTCTTTTCATTCTATTCCTTTGGTCTATTTGTGTGTTATTATCCACCACACTGTTATAAAAAGAAGTCTTTGAGGTTTATTTTAATTATTACTATGCCTGTATTTCCTCAGAGCTGAGCTTTTACAGTCTGCAGTCTATTTTCTGTTCCCGTGTGAATGCCAGTGT